AGACCCTGTCACACTTTTCTCGGCCTCTATTTCGGGCTTCTTGGCCTAAGACTTGACTTTTCGAGATCCGTCCGCCTCGAACTTGGCCTCAACGCAAACACACTTACTCCATGGGTTACTGGAAGTAGAACGATCGCATTTGCAATGCTAAGTGGATGTCATCGTTTGCGTCATGACGTAACCGTTTGCGTGCCTGCTTCATAAAGCCAAACCGTGCGGAAACCCCTCACAGCTGACACCGCAACAACAACAATGGCCGATTGTGCTCCAGCTTCCTCTGTACCTCTTCAGAAGACCAGATTCCCAGTAGGTAGCTGGTCTCTTCAGTGGACCACTGCTGCTTGTTAAGTTTCTCCGTCGTTGTGTACAAACTGGATAAAACGCAGGCTTTTTGTTGTTGTTCAGGAGTTGATCCCGCCCCCCCTGCCCCTGGCCCCGCCTCGACGTAAGCGTGACGTATGCGGTGCTTTTGCTCTGGCCGGACAATTTTTTGGTGCTTGAAATGAACCGGATTCCGGAGCTAAGAGGCTGCTCCGCTGCGGTGTGAAGAGGAAAACCCGGTGCTTTTCAAGCTCCAGCTCCGAACCGGCCCTGAAACACCGTTGGTGTGAATGAGGTATGAGTGTGATTTCAGACAGAGGGTGGAAAGAGGTGCAGCAGCACAGTAAGTATGATACAAAAAAAGAGCTTTTTGAACATTAAAGCATGGAGACATGTCACAGCTGAATGTGCAATGATGCATTGTTACAGGACGTGTGTTATTTACTTTCTTTCTTTTTTACCTTCAAATTTAAGGCTTTACATGTTGTTCTAGCTGAACTCATGTTACGCAATCTTAACTCCCTTTTCATTGGATTCGCTGCCTGAAATTCAAGAATGTCAATCATTTCCAAAGGCTGTGAGCAGGGTTTGAACCTGGGCGGAGAAACCCCATTGGATTTTGAGTCCAACGCCTTAACCACTCGGCCATCACAGCTGTTTATCTAAATAGATAATAAAAAAAAACCTGTCCCTGAGACAGAAAACATGAATTATTGAAGAATCAAGGTATATTTAATCATAGGTTATAATCCATCACAACTAAAGATTGGGATAACGTATTACATCACGGTCACATGACTTCACGTCACCACCGCTAAGCTAAAGGTGGCTAATGTTGGGCTATAAAGGAACTACAGCACGGTCACATGACTTCACATCACCACCGCTAAGCTAAAGGCGGCTAATGTTGGTCCTGATGACATTTAGTCTTCTCATTTAGACACTTGTTACTAACCGCCGTTTTTAAATTCAACAGTGGGGTATCTACTGCGTCACTCAACCGATTTTATTGAGCTGGTTTCATTTTAGTTATGACACTATATACTACTGCAAACAAAAGCAAACTTTTAATTCCATGCCTTTCAAGGGCCCTCCCCCCATCTGGGCCAGGGGTAGTCAGTCTCACTTGTCCCCACACTACGACGCCCCTGGCAGAGGATCTAAATACTGATATGAAACTTAAATTGAGCAAAATAAAATCCTGATTGATATCAGAAATCTTCCAGAGAAGAACATTTTAGGATAGTTGGTATAAAAGCTGTTTTATAATGCTTTGGCCACCTTCTCCAAGCACTCCTGAAGAAGTGCCCTTAAAGCACAATATAGTATCTCCTTGTTAACAAACAGTGCACAGTAGAAACAGGATAATATGAAGAGCATCAACGAGGAACACAGATTTGGTCGATGTTCTCTGCCCCTTTCAGAGCCTGCACATAAATAAGTCTACAAGGACTTCACACCTCCATACAGGTATCTCCTCTCAACCTACATTAACCACAACTGCAGTCACTACAAAAGACAAGAATCATTTTCTCTTTTCATAGAAAAAAGGAAATTGCAACAATTTGAACCAATCATAAGTGCTTTTGTGTCACTGCAACTGCAATCATGAGGTGCATCAATGAGGAAATCAGCAATACTAGGGTGTCTGAACCGAGACAACTGTATCATTGATTGACGCAGAGAAAAAGAGGCTAATCCACAGGGGGGTGAAGGGAAGCTTTTCTTCAAGCAGCCTGATTCGGTTTGAGGTGATTAATACGTGCAAAAAATAAGATGGATTAGTTGAGTCGTGCAAAAAAAACAGAAGCAAGCAAAGGCTTAAATGTGGCATGCTAGAACTGCTGCTCTGCACTGAGGCTGAAAGACTTCATCTACATACAGTAGGACATGAATTAACTCTGGCCCACTATGTAGTAATTCAAGTAAGTGTGCTTACTAAGCAGAAAATTGCCCTTACAGTTATTATAAGATAAAGCTTAAATGGGATGGAAGTCTTGTTTGACCATGTGGGTTGTTTGCTTCCGAGAGAAAGGCCTCGTGAATATTTATGAGGTGCATTGTTGACTTGTCTGATATTGTTTAAACTTTAAAGTGTCTGCAAGAGTCGACCGTCACGACCAAACAAGCTCTCAAAGATGTTGTTCGGACATGTTTACTCTGAAGAGGCTCATTACCCAGAGAATGACAGAAATCCATTACTATCTGCATTTTACTACAGTATTATTAAGACAACATGGCATCTTTTTCTGACCGCAAGCAGCATTTTTATATTGTTTTCAAACAGTAGAGGGCGCATCCCATCACATGCGGTCCCCTTGTAAAAAAGCACTGCACCTAGTGTCTTTTTTCCAAACCCTCCACCTTTTCTTGTGACCACTCTGAACGTCGTTTTTTAATATATTTCAACTTTTCTGAAAAGCGCTGCTGAAATCACTGTAGAAATTGAAGGAGAAGCTTGTTTTTGGCAGGTTGATATCAGTATGTAGTGTCTCTACTTTAAAGAGTCCTCTCCTGCTGATGTTCAGGTGTATATCAGTATGTAGTGTCTCTACTTTAAAGAGTCCTCTCCTGCTGATGTTCAGGTGTATATNGAGGTCCTCTCCTGCTGATGTTTCAGGTGGTATATCAGTATGTACGTGTCTTTTACTTTAAAGAGTCCTCTCCTCGCTGATGGTTTCAGGTGTAATATCAGTATGTAGTTTTGCCTCTACTTTAAAGAAGTCTCTCCTGCTGATGTTCAGGTGTAGATCAGGTTATGTAGTGCTCTACTTAAAGAGTCCTCTCCTCCTGAATGTTTCAGGTGTATACAGTATCTAGGTGTCTCTACTTTAAAGAGTCCTCTCCTGCTGATGGTTTCGGTGGTATATCAGTATGTAGTGTCTCTACTTTCAAAGAGTGCCTCTCCTGCTGATGTTCAGGTGTATACCGTACAGTGTGTAGTGTCTCCGTATTTTAAAGAGTCTCTCCTGCTGAGTTCAGGTGGTAACTATCCAGTATGTAGTGTCTCTACTTTAAAGAGTCCTCTCTGCTGAGTGTTCGAGGTGTATATCAGTATGTAATGTGCTCTACGTGGAAGTGTCCTCCTTGCCTTTAATGTTCAGCTAAACTCTTTATTTTTTCTCATACTGCCTTTGCTGCAGCACCTCTTTCACCCTCTGTCCTGGAACCAGAGCCCAGTCCTGCTCCTGATTGGTTAACTGGCCGGCCTGTGTTGTCGATTGGTCACCCGCTTAGAGATGTCCCGCCCCCTTAGCACTAGTCAGACGTACAATGGTTTGGGACGTCGCTAGCAATAGAAGCACGCGTGGTTACAAGTGATGTCACTATGTCCAGGAACGTAACACAGGAGTCTAAGGAAGGGATTTCAGACTTTAGCACGACGCAGCAATATGGCCTCTTTAAATCAGAAGTTCTTCTTCCACCCCAGCCTCGACCCAGACATGCATCGGATCGATTGAAGTATAGCATCAACAACGGCATTAGATCAGGAAGGGA